CCTCGAAATAGGTCTTGGATTTTTTACTAGGATTAAAAGCGAAATTCTTATAAATATAACAATATATAACAAATAAATATTTTTAATTGATGGTGATCTTGGTTGAAAGGTACAATTATATAATGGACAATTCCACATTGACATTAGTTTAGAAGATACACTCTCTACAGCAATTAAATTGGGCTAATTTCATCTACCTTCCCTGTACTACTGAGAAACATTCGCTTACTTCTCTTATACTACCAAAACCATCACTTACCCCCTTGAATTATATGTTGTACCAATTATACCTTTCTTTAAACTAAATATCTCCCTCTTTGATTTGAATGATAATTTTCTTCAACTTCCATTATTTCACATACTCATTTAACTATTATTATTTAATTATTTTATTTCTATTTGTTTTTATTTTTGTTCGATTTTATTGAAAAAAAATATAGTTTTCTCTTCAAAGAAAATTATAACAACAAATTACAAATGTAGAAACTCTTTAACTTATAACATCATGATTTTATTATGTCAACCATTATAATGCATTCAAATACGCAATAGTACAATGCAAGGAATTAAAACGCAAATTCTTAATTTTATATCACTACTAAGACATAGAGGATACCCTTGATGGACTAGATCCATAACAAATAAGTAGCTGAATTATTACATTCCAAAGTATCAAAAGCTACTCTTAATTAATAATATCTAGAACAATCCAAATAAATCGATCGTTCGAGAAGGCGTTGGGGCGACTTCCGGTGCCTTGGTTGGTGCATGGTGCTTGTGCTTGTGTTTGTGGTTGTTCACTTCTTCTTCTCCCATGTCGAAATCTTCTTCGAACGACGACTTCTTATGGTGCTTTGGTGCAGGTGCGGGTGCATGAGATGGCTTGTGCTTTGGTGCTGGTGCGGGTGCATGTTTTGGCGGATGAGTTGGCTTGTGCTTTTTGATTGGGTGAAGTTCATCGTCATCAAGATCCAACTCGTCATCCCAATATTTATGCTTGGGTGCAGGTGCGGGTGCATGAGATGGCTTGTGCTTTGGTGCAGGTGCGGGTGCATGTTTTGGTGGATGAGTTGGCTTGTGCTTGTTGATTAGGTGAAGTTCACCGTCATCTAGATCCAACTCGTCGTCCCAATATTTATGCTTGGGTGCAGGTGCGGGTGCATGAGATGGTTTGTGCTTGGGTGCAGGTGCTGGTGCGTGTTTTGGTGGGTGGGTTGGCTTGTGCTTGATTGGAATCGGGTGAAGTACTTGATCATCTAAATCTAATTCGTCATCCCATTTGTGCTTTGGTGCAGGTGCGGGCGCTTTAGATGGTTTGTGCTTGGGTGCAGGTGCGGGTGCGTGTTTCGGTGGGTGGGTTGGCTTGTGCTTGATTGGGATTGGGTGAAGTACCTGATCGTCTAAATCTAACTCGTCGTTCCATTTGTGCTTTGGTGCAGGTGCGGGTGGATGAAGAGGTGGCTTCTTGTGCAAATCTTGCCCATCAATGCCAAAACTCTCATCATAATTGGCTAAAGATGGAATTGCAAGAACTGATAGCACAATCAAGAACAAATATTTGGTAGGCATGATTAATTTTGATGTGAGTGATTAACTGTGTGTTTCTAATGGTGAAATTAGTGGAGAGATATGTGGGTTTTTATAGGGGTTTCAGACCACTCATGTGGAGACACGTGTCGGTGTGAAATTGGAGGGCTTTCTTATTTATATTTTGCGGAGTTTACAATGATGTCCACTTACCAGAGATATGAAGATGCCATGCATGTATGTTACACGTGTCACATGCAAGTTAAATATTTTTAGGTGGAGAATTAATGATGACAGTGGTTTCCCATCTGGAATTAGGTATCATTTAAGTATTACAACGTTGGACCTAATACCTCTTTTTTTAGGTTAAAACAATTTATATTGCTACAATAAATTATTTTTAAATAGTTTAATTTATCAATTTTAAATTTATTAGAGAGTTTGTAGGACTTGGAGTATATTGACCTATATTTACTAAGTGAGCTTGTAAGGAATGGTCCTTTTG